TTCGCGCTCCCCAGTGGCACGGCGCCACGCAAACGCACTTTCCACCAAGGCCGCGCAAATCCGCGTGGCACAGCGACATCACGAACGTAATTTCGCCACACCGTGTGTCACAGACTAAAAGCAAACGTATCACATGATACCACCAATCATCCCGCTCACCAGCGATGCGCAAACGCGCTTTCCACCAAGGTCGCACAAATCCGCATGGCACAGCGACATCACGGGCGTAATTTCGCCACACCGTCTGTCACAGACTAAAAGCAAACACTTCTGAGTCCCGCTCCGTTTCCGGCACTACATTTGTACTACAAACTGGCCACTTCTGAGTCCAGCTCCGAAAGCTCTTTCCCGTACTACGTTTGTAATACAAACTGGCCACGTCTGAGTCCAGCTCCAAAATGAAGCGCCAAGTCCCCAAACCAAGCGTTTCGTACGAGACTTCCTCCAAAAGTGAAGCGTCAAGTCTCCAAAACGAGCGTTTCGCGCGCTCCAAAAGTGAAGCTCGACCCACCCGATCCCCGCAGAGGGTTGAACCAACATGTTCAAAAGTTGCAAAAACCCTCACATTTGAACGCGTGACGCGCGCGATCTTCGCAGAGGGTCGCCTCTCGATTGACCTGGCCCCGCCTTAAGAGAGAATAGAATAGAGAAGTCGAGATATGGATGGAGATGCTCGTGTGATAAGACTCGTGTGATAAGACTTGTATGATTACGCTCGTGCTATGATGCTCTTATCTTGATGCTCATGTCTTGATACTCATGTGATCACACTCGCGCTCGTGTTATGATACTCTTATCTTGATGCTCATGTCTTGATGCTCATGTGATCAAGTGATAAGACTTGTGTCATTACGCTCGCGTGATACTGCTCTTATCTTGATGCTCATCTTGATGCTCATGTGATGATAGGCATGTGATGAAGGAACACGGCGAAGGAATCTGCCTTTAAGAAAACCCCCCGCAATCGCTCTCGGGAACAAAAACCCAGACAATATTTTCCTGTGAGCCCAATTCTGTAGCTCTATTCAGGGTACACTTTTAGGGTTTGGTGGCTTCATGGGGAGAACCCTTTCCAGAAGGGTTTTGATTAATTTTCGATGGTTTTTAAATCAGGGGTTTTATTAGAATTGTTGCCAGAAGGTTTTGTGTGGTTTTTGATGATGAAGGATTTAGTTGAGAAGGAAACTAAAATAGAAGGACCGGATAACCCCACATGTTAAGCTCATCAGAACTAGCAACGAGAAGCCGTCCTGCTGCGAAATCTGCACTTCAGGTTCACCAAGTGCTGTGCCTGCCACGATAGGCACCCGCGGGCCAGCGGCGACCGCGCGTCCACCCAGTCCTCCTGCAGGCTCTGCGCACTGCGCCTGCCACGAAATCTGCACTTCAGGTTCAAGTGCTGTGCCTGCCACGAAATCTACATGACAGGCAGCCGCGGGCCAGCGGCGACCACGCGTCCACCCAGTCCTCCTGCAGGCTCTGTGTACTGCGCCTGCAACGAAAACAGTGCTGTGCGTGCGGCAAAATCCACACTCCAGGTTCACCAAGTGCTGTGCCTGCCACGAAATCTACACGACAGGCAGTTGATGCACTTCCACATTGCTTCTGCTCTTGTGACTGGGTGAGGATGTCCTAACAGGTCTTGCTGGCTCCTCCATTCCTCTGCTCACTGGCTCAAGATTGAGGCACCTCCCAACAATCCTTGTGTGCCAGAAGACACAAGGTGTGAGTTGACTGTTCTAACAGGTTTTGCTGTCTCGTCCACCTCCTCTGCTCACTGGCTGAGGATGGAGACACTTCCAAAAATGCTTGTGTTGCCATAAGACACAAAGCAGTGATTCCATTCTAACAGGCCTTGCTGGCTCCTCCATGTCCTCTGCTGAGGACCAGGGCGCCAGCCAACAACCAACCAAGCCATTTTGCTCAGATTGCTCAGTTTGTGCTGGTTGGTGCTTTTTGGTTTTGTGGTTTAAAGAAAAACTGACCACAGCTGAACGGGCAAGGAGGTTTCATATTTCGACCCTGGTGTCAAAAGCGGCCTTAGCGTAGTGGCGCGCAAGCAAACTTAGATGCCGAAGATCATGGGCTCGAGTCCTCCTATGGTCATTTTTGCAGTGTGAAGCCAATCCACAATAGAGAGGAGACCAATAGTCAAAGCACTCCCCTCTATTTAGTTGAGAAGGAATCCAAAGAAGCAATCTGTCAAGAAAGGAATTAATAGAACCAATTAACACATTCACTCATTTTTCAGCGCGCAAAAATTGTTTAGCTTTATTTCGGGCGCGCTATACATGGGGAGAACCCTTTCCAGAATGGTTTGATCAATTGTCAATGGTTTTTCAATAAGGGGCTTATAAAGAATTGTCGTCAGAAGGTTTTGTGTTTTGATGATGAAGGATCTAATTGAGAAAGAATCCGAAGAAGCAATCTGTTAACATTAGAATGAACCACACAAAAATATTTTTCTGTGAGCCAATTCTGTAGCTTTATTCAGGGCGCACTCTATTTAGGGTTTGGTGGCTTCATGGGGAGAACCCTTTCCAGAAGGGTTTTGATCCATTTTCGATGATTTTCTAAAGAAGGGGTTTAAAAAAGAATTGTTGTCAGAAGGTTTTGTGGTTTTTGATGATGAAGGATTTAGTTGAGAAGGAATCCAAAAATACACGCTGTCAACCAAGAATTCATTATATGATAGAACCAACTAAACATTCAAACATTTTTCAGTAGAGAAATGCTTTAGCTTTATTTAGGGTAGGGTTTGGTGGCTTCAGAAAAGGAACAAAATACTAACCCAACAAGTTTTTCAGTGATCAAAACTGTTTAGCTTTATTTAGGGTGCACTTTATTTCGGGTTTGGTGGCTTCATGGGGAGAACCCTTTCCAGAATGGTTTTGATCACATATTGGCGGTTTTTGCATAAGAGGTTCATCAAGAATTTTCATCACAGGGTTTGAGGTTTGGTGAACAATTCAACTGAGAATTGAACTGGAATTGAGTTTGAATTGAATTCTAATTGACTTGCAGCTACTTGACTTGCAGTTATATAATTGAATGAGGACTGTAATTGAATGAACAAAATTCTATAGCTCTATTTAGGGTAGACTTTATTTAGTGTTTGGTGGCTGCCTGAAAATCTAATAGCTTTATTTAGGGTAAGCTGTGGCTTCATGGGGAGAACTCCTTCCAGAATGGTTTGATCAATTTTCAATAGTTTTTAAAGAAGGGATCTATAAAGCGTGCTGCTAACTTTATTCCGGGTACCTTTATTAATCATAGGTCAACATTACTGATTTCGCACGCCCAATCTTGGTTGTTGGAGCTCGGTGCGAAACTGTTCCGTCTCCAGCGTCTCATTCTCAGGTAACATGTCCTAGTGGATTCAGAAAGTGGCGAAGGAGCAGCTGGCAGATCGAGGTTGCCTTCGGAAAGGCGAAGTACGGAAGAACTCCGTTCTGGAACGCTTTCCAGGATGACTCATCGTCTCAAAGAACGAATGCTGCAGCCGAGGGGGCTAAGCCTCGTCCATCAGCAGCCATCCTGCCCATCTAAGGGCAATCAAGTGACGCTCCTTCGTCGCTTTGCGCGGAGAAGCTGCAACTTGAAGCCTTTCGGCTTGTATACTTCTGCCGTGTCCATCGGCTCTTTGCTACGTGGCGCCGGCTGGGCGCGCCGCTACCGACACTTGGACAAGCCAACAAGGACAAAAGTTCAATTTCTATCGGCTATCATGTTGCAGATCGCTGTACGACATATCAAAGGACAACGGAAAGCGCCATCAAGGCGCTCGTTGGGTCAACTGGGCTGAAGCGCCTGGAATGATTTGCCTCCATACTGCCGGCATACTTGTGGCATCTGAGCTGTCAGAACTCATCCAAAAGGAGAATGTTCTCCTAACGGTGATTGCACCGGAAGAACACTGGCAAAAACTCTCGAGCCAAAAGACACGGAGGCATTTTGCACAAGATACTTAGAAAGTAAGAATGGATCATGAATAACGCAACTCGAGAAGGCCTTAAGCAATAATAGCAACTTCAACAGGTGTGGAGATGGACGGGGAAGCCACCAGTTACAAAGGGGGGCCTCCCTTTGAACATATAATTGCTATATGTACATAGATATGTATGTATAATATATGTATGCGAAAATGTTGTATGTGTAGATAAACGAGAATGCATATGTATTATAAAAATGGCTCTGCAGAAGCCAATGAAGGGTCATTATGTATTCTATGTGCACAGTTGCAAAACCTCCTAAGAACGGCGAGCCCGAACAGCATGCAAGTAACACGCAACTGTACACAAAGGATCAGTGACAGGACGCCCGGCTCCCGCCGTCGGGGCAAAACCTCAGGTCTTGAAATGTGCATAGCTGTGAGAATAGAGCCGATTTCAACAAACACGAACGAGCAAGGTCTGGGAGGCAAAACTGTTGAGACTCTCGCGAGTCAAGCTTTTTTCAAACTCTGCCCCAGGCGAGAGATGACAAGGATGCCCAACACCATGGGGCAAAGAAGCCTTTCAGGTCTCAATCAACCCAATGTCTCTGAAACAAGGGCGCTTCGCATGGGCCACGCATGCGTCTTCCACCTTGAACATCCTCACAGGATCTCAAAGGATTTTCTGGGCTGACATTTGCCCTAACCATATTGGGAAGAGGCAATGAGTGTCCTTTGATGCCGGGCAAATTTGTTTTTCTTTAGCGGGCTGTTGTGGCAGGGCCCCCACTTACATTACAATCATGATGCTTTGAGTTTCTTTGAAGGGTTGAAACTTCAGCCCGCAATGATACGAATTGGTGCTGCGTGGGCCTCCATCTTCTCACTTGAAAAGATCTTGACATGCTAACATCAAAAGAGAAACTTTGCGCATAGAGACTTGCAGGCTGAAACCTTAACCGGTAGCTCTCTCGCAACGAAGCTGCGCAAACCCTCAGCCACTCACTCGAAAAGAGTACTGCGCATGCAAACGCCAAACAAAGTCACGCCAGCCATCATGGTCGCATGCGTAGCCCCACTAGGTCACTAGGACTCACTAGGTGCCCACGTCTGTCCATCCGTCCTTCCCTCCATCTGTCCGTCCGTCCATCCAGCTCTCCCTAGCACACCCCACCATCCATCCATCTGCGGTCCATCCATCTGTCCACTGCCCGTCCTTTGTACAATCTCCCTTTTCACCAACACCACCAGCATCGGCATCACCAACATCACTCGATCATCAATGATGGCCTGCATCACCATTCGCGCCGCCATTTAACACCTGTAGCTCCACCAATCAGGTTGGCCCCATCTCTCCCTCGCTTCGTTCGCAAATATCAAACTTCATCCTAGACGGCCGGCCCTTTTTTGGGGTGTGCTTCGTCTCATGAAATGCCCCGAACACGTGTGTGCACCGACCCTTTGTACTGGTGACGCGCAGCACTCTCCAGCGACCAGCTCAAACCTCTACACTAGAACAAAATTGCCAGTGAACCCTACGAGCTCGCTCCAAAAAACTCCTGATAGTTCAGGCACTTACGCACATCGTTCACTGCTTGGGGATAATCTAGTCCCAGGTTCATGCTACTAAACGTATCAATTTATCAATCTAAACACAACCCTCCGCAAACACATTTTGTCCGGCCCCACAAAATTGCTTCGTTGGTTCAAGTGCCATGACCGCATGGCCGTTCTCTGAAATTCTGTGGCCAGCATTGGTCGTTTTTGGCGACGGTTTTCGTTTCGTTTTGCTGCTTGGTACTTCTTTCAGAGATTGATTGAGACGACTCAATCTGGGCACTCTGGAGTTGCAAATTGTTCATGCTCAGCGAATTCCTTGACTGACAACACCATCATTTTCGGCACCTCGCTCCACGTTGGACTGTTTGAATGGGTTTGGTGCCTTCAAAGTGCAATTGCTCTTTGTTTATGTTTGCTCGTGAATGATAGTGACGGCCTTCCCAACCGCCTGACACAAACGGAACAAAGGTTGTAGTTGAAGCTCTGGCGGGTGATACATGTGCGCCAGTCATACTATTGCTGCAAAGTGAAGCGCACTCGTGGCATTCGTGGAGAATAATGCACATCGCTGACTAAGGATAGGCTATGGGCTTTCATGGCAAACGAACATGCAAAAAAAAAACTCATCACCGGCTGGTGGAGTCTTGAAGTATTGCAACGACTAGTGGGTTGGTGGAGAAGGTGTAGTTTGCAAAATCGCGTGTCGCTTGGAGACAATTTGGGCAGAGGTTCCGAATTGTTGATTTTGTGAATGAAGGCTGCGCTGGCTGTTGCTCTGACGTCGTGCCAGTCAAACGTGGTTTGAAGCAACCAAAGCCCTCGCAGCTCATGAACAAGTCTGGGCCAACTTCCAAGAAGCAAAGAAACAGTTTTACAAGGACACCCGGAAAGCCTTGGACAAAAGCTGTGTCTCCCGTGGATTTTACCCGACCGACAACAAAAATAACAAAGTGCCAGGCAACATGGAAAAGGCAAACGAAAAAACGGCACAGGCTTCAATGGTAGATGTGTCACGTGCGGCAAGTGGGGCCACGGGAGCGCAACATCCAACTCAACATCTGGGAAAACCAGTGTGGGATTTGTCTTCGGCACTCTGGGGTTCTCTGAGGAGATCGTCGTCTCATCACCACGCAGTCATTGATTGCGGTGCCTCTAAATCCATCATTGGAGGTCACACGCTACAACGGGTGTGTGTGACCACTACACTCGTTCGGGACTGGACCCAAGAGTTGTGCAGCGACCGTTCGGTGACTCGCTCATTTCTGATTGCAACAATTACAAATGCCTGCTCTCAATCCTTCGGACTTGCACAGCTAAACCGTAGAACTAGGAGGCATTGAAACCAAGATCCCCTTGCACATTGTGGAAGGGCCTACTCCTATGTTGCTTTCCGCAGAGTGGGTGAGAGATCAGGAATCCAGAAGTGGCATTGCTCATTTCAAGTGTCTCGGAGCCCATAGCCCATAGTCTACATACAATTCATTCAATCCTTTACTCTGGAGAGACAGAGTCGTCGTCAGGTCAGCCGCAGGGTGCGCGCGGTTGATTGAATGTCAGCGACAAGAAAAGTTAGGGGAAGCAAGTCTGGAACATCCTCTACGAGCACAATCCTGGTCAAAACCAACTATGCGAACTGTGAGTCGGTTGTGTGGCGGTGTGACGGGTGCATGTTCGTTTTTTTACACCCCAAGACCGGTTTGGGGCATATGCAGCTCCTCGCAATGCATACGAAGTGCCCTTCAAGGTGAGTGTGCGCACGAACATGAGTATGATCCCATAGAAGGCCAGGTTACGGTTACATCCATGACCGCGACATACTGTACATACCCCGCAAACCGTTGCAAAGCATTTGCTGAGGCACTGATGGACACGAAAACTCAACTTGACTTGATCTTACATCACATGCACCAAGCACACTTGGTAGGTACGACTTCGACATTTCCACCAGAAGAAGAGGAATCAAACAGAGCCCCTGAGAACGTCAAAAAGACTGGAGATCTTCAACGGCATATAGGAGGACGAAACATCCGAGCCAGCTGAAGTTGAAAATCAGAATCTTCGAGTCGCTAAAAAAGTTGAATGCGAGGTTCGCCGGCAGCGAGGACACGCTAAGCCAGATGTGACTTCCCCGAGTGACGGACAAGTGGCATACGATTTCTGTTGACACGTTCCGGTGGCACATACAGCTGGCCCTCACAGACTTTCTAATTTTTCGGGAATAGTTTCTTTGATAAGTGCTCGGATTTTCATGTGGCGGTGGTAGCTATAGATCCGGTCACAAGAAATCGGGGTCGGTCAATGCCAAGGAGTTTAAGCAGGCCTTTGGGGAAAACTGGTTGAAACTGTTGCCGAAGCGTGAGGTGATGCGTTTTGATGATGAATGTTTTTTCAAGATCAACGAAACCATCATGGTTATGCGCATTCAGTTCATAGCTGGGGAGGCTCCCAGGCATATGGGCAAGCACATCCCGAAGTCCTGGAAGAAAACCTGTCCCTTTTATCCTTAGAATTATCAGTAGAAAAAGAAAACGTCTGTCACAGAATTGTTGGACCATTTGGCTACAGAATGGCATTTGTCTCAGCTGCCCAACGAGAAGCCACAGACTTTGAGGCCATGATGCAGCGTGAGCAAAAGGTCAAGGAAACCCTTCTCAGGGCCGATGCTAGACGGAGAGCTCTGAGGGCCGCCAGAGGCCAAGCGTGAAAAGCTGAAATGTTTCGAACTGGTCAGGATGTGTTGTGGCTGAAAAGAGTAGCGACGAAGTGGTCAGAGACAACCAGACTGTTGGTTCTATTGTTTGGGCGAGAGTGCTCTCAAAGCGAACGAAGTCGAGAAGAAGCTTCCGCAAACGACCAAGCAAGCAGTTGGTGACCATTTACGAGAAGGACACGGAGTGAGTAGGTGTCTTGCCTCGTATTATATATATATAGACCAAGGCTCACCGTTTGACGCCAAACAAATGCAGGCAGTTCAGGGCTGTGCTTGGCGCAGTGTCTTGGCAGGGAACCCAAACCGCCCCTTGGCTATGCGTGTCTGCTTCCTAGCTCCAGGGATGTTTGAGGAATCCTCTTGTTTAAGACGCAAGCGACGTCAACAAACTTGTTCGCGCTCGAAGGCAATACAATTCGACCTCGTTGATATCCCCTGATTATTTTTGAAGAAACCGATGTTGTGCACTTTTGACGACGCGTCATGAGCCCTGGCAATCTAAACGGCTGAGTCGGGTGTGTAGAAGCTCCACGGCTGCAGAAATTCAATTGGCCTGCGCGGCCCTTGATGGTCACGAATTCCCGAAACAACTTGCTTTGGACTTCTTGAGCCACGTGCAACTTGATGCCTTGGATGCTTGTTTGCATTGTCTCAAGTCGGTGATCATCACTGACTCGAAAAACATGTTCGACTGTGTCAATCGAATCAAGGGTTGCGGACTACAACTGGAGGAGAAGCGCCTAGTCTGGAGGTTAAGAGCAGCCGGTGTGACATGTGGTTGGGTCAACTCGGATCAGCAGCAAGCTGCCAACAATTTGTCCAAGGCTTTCGAGTTTGAATTCGAAGCATGCCTCAGCATGCCTTAATAAGGTCTTCAAACGAAAAGAGGTTTCTGTTCTATTTGACCCACTTTTAGCTCTGGAAAGCGCAGAAGGGCTGAACTACATAAGCAAGACTCCGGTCAGAGCCAAGAACAACAATTAGAGCAGTGTTGATTTTGTGAATGAAGGCTACGCTTCCTGTTGCTCTGACGTCGTGACACGCAGCGAGTGTGGCACAAGGCCTCTAGCTTTACTGTCGGTTCCTGCATGGTATGAAAAGGCTATCACGCATCCATCACGATCTCTTACCGTGGTCTCATTCCAGCGGTTGCTTCTCTTGTTTTCCCTATTGAACCTGAAGTTCTTTCCAGTGTCCTCTGACCTCCGGCCAGTTTACAAGAATGAATGGTTCAGAAAGGAGGTGGAGGATGAGCACCGTGGTGTTCATTTGAACCGGTTTCATACCTGCCGATCCCGGTTCAAAGGGCCAACCTCCATGTTTGCATCCCCCTCTTTTGCGATGAAGTGCTTTCACATTAGACTAGGGTTATGAGAAAGTTTGTCAGCCTCGGCTGAGGTTTTGCAAACTGTTATTTTTGATTATTTTTGTATGTTGTTCCTTTTTTTTGCATTCTGGTTTGTGCGTTTTTTGCATTCAGAAAGCTTCTTATTACAGTTCTTTTTGTCCTTGGAATGTTCACGTCTGGGGATTTTTGTGAGCAAATTTTGCCAGATCGAGATACACTCATGGAACTGCAGCATGGTCTGCAAGGTTTCCTTCAATCCTGAAAGCTTGTTCCTTGCTATGTGTGCGGTAGCCAGCAACTCGCCTCAGCATTTCCCTGCTTAGTCTACTCCGCAGTGACTCTGCCGCTTGCTTCTTTTTCGTTTCTTTTTTTCTCACTGTATACTATATGTATATATGTCTAGAAAATCAGCGGCAAAGGGAAAACAGGTGCACACACTCTAGTCACTAGAGTGACCGTGCTGGACTCCCGGTTCATTTTGTGCGGTGGATCCTTTTCCTGTAATTCCTACAGCTGGTTCCGTCTTTCGTGACGCTTTGTAACGTGCGCTCCTGGCTCAGGGCTTGAGAATTGGCAGCTCAAGGTTCTGAGCACGTGGGTTTCACTCAGACTTGGCCAGCACTGCGCTTGGGCAAGGTTGGTGGAACTACAAATGCTGACTTGTATGAGATGCTGTATGCTTGATTTGTAGTGCACATGCGCCCTGCTCCAAAGCTGCCTGCCTGGACCTCATCCTCGATGTAGCCTAAAATCTCCCAGAACTGGGGCATCTGCAAAAGCATGGAGTCAACCTCAGAACATCTTTGAATTGAAAAGGAATTGATGCGCTAAAACCACTTTTGATGACGTAATTTTCAAGCAACACATCCTGAGGGCCCCGCGCAAGCCAAGCGATAGCTCAGGTCAAGCAAATGGAACCTTTGCTGAAACGAACGGCGCATCGGGAGCTGTGTCTCAAGCTGCAACAACGGATTTTCATGATTGACATTTGTGTTCACAACTGTGTTCACAGACTGAATCATATTGAAACCAATGTTTTGGCAAAAGGCACAAGTAGTTGCATGTATGGCTCCAAACACAGCCGAACGAACAAATCAAATGCAACAGCAGTTGTTTGGACATCAGTTGGCACTGAACAGCAGCTACATGTCCGTGCTGGTTAAGTGAACCGTCCATGGAATCCATGCAGTATGTGCGTTCCCCAAGTGCGCTCGTTGGGTTGCACTTCTCGCCTGTTCCCACAGTGTTCCAATGACGCATTTTAGGCCTGTGAAACTCAATTGGTTGCTTTAGGCTGAACACGCGCACCAACAAGTTTCTAAGCCCTTGTTGGCGACACTGGTGCAGGCACATTCTTTGGCCATGCAGCTCTGCCAAAGTGATGTAGAGGTGAGTTTCGCGCCAGCGGGCCAAACGGGCCATGGCAACAGCCTGAGGCTCGACGAGCGGCCCACAATCACACGACTGTCGTGTGAGCCCCGACGCAGCTCGCAGCACCAATTGCGACAGAAAGCGGGCCACATTGCTTATGCCCAAGCCTCCAAAGCCTTGGCTCTCAACCCAAGTCTGGCAAGTCCCTAAAAGGCCAAGCACAAAACATCTTCCATTAGTGCACCACACGACACTATTACAGCGAAGTTCAAAAGAACGGGTTAAAGTGGAAAACAGCACCGCTTCGTGCAGCGGTCATTTTGAGCAGTGAGCGAATGCTCAAGGCGCCTGCTGTGAAAGGGCTGCAAGGTCAGTCCACGAAGTCTCAAGTGGTTTCCGTTTCCAGTCCATCAGCCCCCCAAAACTACTGCTGACCTTAACATCGAGGTTTTCCGGAGGTCACTGCAGCTCCTCCATCTTGGCCCGGCAACATCACCAACCTCAATCACCATGTGCCCATCTGTTGGGGTCATGTCATCAGCCTTCTCATCCGGCAGGGTGAGCACGCAGCGGTCGTAGGGGCGCACCTTGTAGCCCAGCTTCTCGGCGACGCCAAGAAGGCCGCGTCACCACCATGAAAGGCCAAAGACCCGGCCATAGACTTCAGTCTCCAGGGGCAGCAGTTGCTCGGGGCGCAACCCAGGTAGAGTTTGGCGGCAGGCAATTAGGCGTGTCCTCGTTGTTGGTCCCCTTGGAGGAAGGCGGTCTTGACATCCTTCACATGGGCCTTCCACTTCCTCGGGGCAGCCAGCTGGAAGCAGGTGTAGATTGAGGCAGGTGCTCAATGGAGTTGGGCTTGACCGTTGCACGTCAGAGTCTTGCCATCCAACAACGCACCATCAGCTCTTGGGATTGTGCTGGTCCACTTGGAGGGGCACAGCTTCCATGTGGCCTTCTTGCATGGCTCGGCTCTTGAAATCGGAGATGGTGTTTGGATCCAGCTCCTTGGGCTCGTAGCGGTCGACAAAGCGAGAGTCGATCGCCTGATCGGGGAACTCCTGCAGGAAGGCACGGCTTTCCTCAATGGATCACCTTCACTGCGCCATTCTGCGCCAGGCTGTAACCCCTTCTTTCTTGCTTCACGAAATAGCTTCTTCTCCTCCTCAGCCAGCTTGGTGAACTTGACGAGGTCTTGGCCTTGCATCGGCAAGAAGCCAAATCTGAGACAACTTCGGCCGGTGAGGCTGAAGTTTCCAGAAGGGCTGCGGCCAACTTCTCCTTGACCAAGCCTCCCGCTTTCTCAGTGCGAGCGTTCTGCCATGGTGAGCCAGGATCTGTGAAGTGAATGCCCACTCCCAGTGATCAGCAACCAGGAGGACAGGCGCTCCGTACTTTTCCACCCATAGGCGCATAAAGTGCCCAGCACCTCCAGGAGGGCCACTTGCAAGAAGTTGGTTCCCTTCAAAGGACATCCAGGAAAATATGGCTCCATGAAGAAGAGGTCCAGCCCAACGAGGGTTGAACTCCAAGGCTCGCATCAGGTGACCTGGAAGCAGGCGTTGGCGTTTGACGGGCCTCACAGATCGGGCAGCGGTATATAGTGCATGAGCTTTGGTCCAGTCAGTGCAGACACCAGTGTGCTTCAAAGCTGTGCTTGGATGGTTGGCCAAAATTCCGGTGCACTCTGTGAACCTCTCGCCTGAGCCGTGGTGCCAAGGCGAACTCATCTTCGTTGACCTTCTGGAAGTGTTTGAAGTGCATCTGAAACTCGAGAACCGCTGCTCCTGAGCCGAGACCGGATGTCTTCCTGCGGGGGTTGTCATGGAGGTTGATACTTCTTCTATCACTTGGTCCTCGTCGGCGAAAGTCACCGGCATAGCAGTGGACACAGATTCAGCTCCTGTTCGATCTCGACGTTCTCCTTGGCGTATTAGGTGAAGGCCACCAAGAGCTCGACCAACCTTGCGAGGTGGTTCGCGCTTGGAGTGCTGGTGCATGGTCTTATAGCCTAAAGTGTCCTTGATCCCCTCAACCAGCGCCTTCACAAACTCCGTGTAGATCGCGGCTTGGCGAGCCCCACCACCGATAAAAGCTCTTGTCGCAGCATAGCCCCTCGATGTTGGTCGCAAGGCGGGCTTCTTGGCCAGAGCGTGCGGAGTAGGGCCTTTCGCAGCTCGAAGGTTGAACCAGCACATATCCAGGTAGATGATGAACACCTCGGGCCTGAATGTGGTGCAAGGTGGTGACAGCGACAAAACTCCACGTCTCTTGCTCTTCACAAGGTCGCGGCCTCTTCTCGATAGCTGGCGTTCTTGAAGTCCCAGTCTGCAGTGTAGTGGTCCAATCCAGGGCGATAGACCCGCTTAGGCCGTGCTTTTTGGCCTCAGCTGTTAGACGAGGAGGGCTGTAGACCTCACCCACGTCTTCCAGGAAGTTCTTGTTCTGGCTCCGGGCAACATGTCGTTGAGCTGGAGTCAAAACCGCAGCAGCGCCATCAAAATCAGTCCGGGCCAGCTCTTGAGTCCATCGCGTCCGCCTCCAGGATCTCACCATCGGAGTGGATCTCGAAGACCTCCTTGGCTCGTAGCAGCGAGGTGTCCTGGGCTTGGCTCGTGCCTGCGTTGGGCGGACCCCTGCACTCATGCTTCGCTTGTCCGGTGGTGCTGCAGCTGGGGATGGTGACGGGGTCCGCTACCATGAAGGTGTCACCATGATGGACGGCGTCAAATTGCCCTCCTCAGAGCTGGCAATGGTCCCTGAGTGCGTGGAGGTCCCTGGTTGCCCTACCGACCTGTCTCATCTCATCACCCAAGGAGGCCATTGGTCTTAACTTAGCCACACCGATCGGGATGTCATAGATGCCACCGATCTGTGCTGCGCCTGCAATCCCGGCGCAGTTCACCGAAACACCTGAGGCGGGGACAGGTGCCAGGCGGCCATAGCAGCTCAAACATCGGCGAAGTTGGGCCATTGCACGGGACCCGATCACCCCCTTCTGCGGTGTCCACGATCGCCTCATAGCCTTCAGTGACTACACCAGCATAGATCGCCAGCCTCTTGGTGGCATGCTGCTCGATGTCATAGTTCTAGATATGCCCATCGACGACGCGAGCGCACAGTCATGTAGATTCGATTTGACCCACAGTTTGGGCCCATGCCAAGTCTTGGTCTCCTCGGGCTTGATCTGGTCCTCGTGGGCGGCAGTCATGAAGTTCTTCACCACCTTCTGCACCAAGGCCTCAGGCCTGTCCAGTCAGTGGTCGAAGAACTTGAGTGACCTGGTCTCAGAAGCATCCTGCCAGCAATCCTTGGAGGATCTTGGAGGCATCTCCTCGCCAACCTGAGCTTCCATGTCCTGAAAGGCCAGCTCCTTGGTGGCGATGTAGGAGAAGCTTTCCGAGCGACTTCGCTCGGGTCCGAAGAAGAAAGCATCTATGGCCGCCGGGGCGGCCGCCTCCAAGAACGGGGCGTGGTTGGTGAAGATGGCGCGCAAAATGGTGCCATGGGCAGGTTCCGAGGCGGTGACGGTCATCCGATGGTCTCCGCCAGCTTCCTTGGGGCCGAATTCTCAGGAAGGACATCAAAAGTTTCAGGCCCCATTTGCTCTTTGGGATGTTGTTGTCAAGCTCCCAAAAGGCTAGTGAACGAAGCCAGGAGCGAAGCTTCTCCACTTGGCCCGGCCAGCGGCATGCTCTTCCTTTCTCCTGTGAAGGCAGCACTCAATGCCTTGACCAGCTGATCGCCGGCCACCGCTGGATCCGTAGGCGCTGAAGGCGATGACGTCGACATAAGAGCCTTGCCCAAGGCCTCAAAGGCACTAGCCGCCGGAGGTGGGTTGGATGCTGTAGCCGTGTTGGCGTTGAGCCGGTCCACGAATGCGCTAGCAGTGCCAAGACCTTGCCCAGGGGCCCCACTCAACCCATCAGGGTTGGTGGGTGCATTCATTCCTCTTTGAGGAGTAGGGCTTCCCGTTTGGGATGGTCCACAGTAAGCTTGAGGAGGTTGAGCTGTCCTGACATTCCGGAGGAGCAGCAAAACCAGGAGGCTGCGACGTTGAGCTCGAAGCCAAAGGTGTAGTTCCTGCAAGGCCACCGCCATAGCCTGAGCCGCACTGTGGTCCTGCTCCGGCAGTGGTGGCCTGGGGCTGTCCAGCCCTCCACAACCATGTGGCTGAGGCACTGGCTCCGCTACCACTGTGGGAACAGCGGCTTTCAAAAGAACGGGTTAAAGTGGAAAACAGCACCGCTCCGTGCAGCGGTCATTTTGAGCTGTGAGCGAATGCTCAAGGCGCCTGCGGTGAAAAGGCTGCAAGGCCGGTCCACCAAGTCTCAAGTGGTTTCCGTTTCCAGTCCATCAATGCAAAAGGGGTCGAGAAAAAGAACACATGCAATTTGCGTGGTCCTTCAGCATGTTGCACAACGCTGTGCGCTGCTGTTGAACCACTCAAAGCCAAAGTTTGCAAAGTTATATAATTTCTTTTGCGAATAGAGCTCAGCTCACCTTTTCGCAGCTGAACCCAAATTCGCTGGGTTCTCAGTAATGTTGGATCTCGAATAGCAAAACCCCTCCCCCCTAGCAGCTAGCAAACAATCGAGGGAGTGTGAACAAAGTCAACCCCGCCAAAACTAGCTGGACTTGAGGGATTGAGGAGCAGCAGTAGTAGCAGTAGTAGTCGTCGTCGTCGTCATCGGTCGTAGGAGTAGTAGTAGCTGTAGCCGGAGCCGTAGCTCAAATGTTTTTCCCAGGGCTCCAAGTTAGCGCATTAATCCTACCCCCTAATTAAACAATTCACATATATAATTCACTTTCCCTTGACAAATTAATCTTTGAAAAATTGTATGGAGCAATGATTTCAATGAGCTTCAAAAAGGGGTTTGAAAAAGGTTTTCCGGCCAGAGTTCCGTCAATCAAGCAGACCTCAGAAGAGGTTAACGATCTGAAAGGAACACAATAGCAAAACAATAGAAAACTAAATCAACAAACAAAGCAAACCTAAAAAAGAACACTCTGCGCCTCTGCGCAAAAAACTGGTTATATTTCCAACCCACGAAACTATTCAGGGTGTGGGTTCACTATTCCCTCCATTTGACCAATTAATTGGGATTCGACATTTATCGCACAAACGGCCTCTAAGTCGGCGGCTCCAATGCCAAAGCCTGCAACTGTTGCGGTCCTTTGCACAAATGACTTGTAATGAATATGCTTGAATCATTCATTGCGCAAGACTGGCAAAGCTGTAAAGAGGAATAAGCCAAATTTCTTGATCTCTGCCACCCGTGCGCATGGCAATCAGCACACACACTTTGTTCGATGAAAACCCCGCAACGGATGCCAAGTCCTGTCTGCGGCACATGTTGATCATTGTTGATCCCTACTTCACCGCAAAATGCTAGGGTTCACAAAGCTGATGGCAAACTGGTTCA